AAAAAAAAAAAAAAAAAAAGAGATAAGGAAAAATAAGGAAGTGCCACGAAGGAGAGCTGTAAATCACCAAGTCTAAAGCTTTGCCCAGAAAACAAAAACAAGGAAAAAAGTGAAGGTTGACAGAGGCGAACCTGTGGGACCATCCATAAAATGGTTTCTATAGGTGGTTCCTAGAAACATTCCTCTAAGTCTCAGGATGGGAAAGGGACGGACCTAGGATAGAGCAGACAGAGCACTTACCTTTGCATCCCTAGATGGGAGGGAGCTGTTGGGAGTACAATGGATCTAGGCCCTTTCAGAACCTTATATCCAGGGCAGAACTCAAGAACACTGCTGCCCCGGATGAGATACAGGGATCCTCTTGGGAGTTGAGAAGCTTGCTGGATTACCAATAAGAAATCCTATGTGAAGACCCCAAAGCATCTAGGTTCCTTCCTCTTTTTTTTTTTTTTTTTTTTTTTTTTTTTTTTTTTTTTTTTTTTTTTTTTTTACATTTAGTCCATACTGAAGCTACCAATTCATATATATATGTGTGTGTGTGTGTGTAAAAATTATATATATATGTATATGTATATATATGTGTGTGTGTGTGTATAACTTATCACACGTGTATACATATACACACACACATATATATACATATACATATATATATAATTTTTAATGTATTTTTGAGAGACAGAGAGAGCACGAGCTGGGGAGGGCAGAGAGAGGGAGACAGAGGATCTGAAGTGGGCTTGGGGAGGACAGCAGAGAGCCCAATGTGGGGCTTGAACCCATGAACCCAAGATAATGGCCTGAGCCGAAGTCAGTTGCTTAACCTACTGAGCCACCCAGGGGCCCCCAGGTTCTTTCCTCTTAAGTGTGTTGCCTCTCACCTTCCTTAGAGCTGGCAGGATTGAGGTTAATTCCGCTCTTACATCTCCAGTCATTTGGAGCCTTGGAGTAAAAGTCAATCTTGTTCCCCTCTCATCCCCCACCCCAACTCGCCCCCAATATTGAGCTTAGCCATCCTGACCATTTGAAAGCATAGAAAGAGTGCCAAATAGGTGAGAGGATGGGTGTGGTAATGTAAATCATAGATCCCATTAGTCCCCATCCCTGCCTTTTCAAAGAAAACACCACGGGTGTTCAGGAATTGTCACTTCACCATTTCCTCTCTCTGGTCTCCCCTAAAGCCAACTCCCTCCGTGAGTCCACCTCCCTTACAGGACACATAGTAATGGAGTCACACACAGCTGGGCTGGGCGGGGAGCCTGGGAGTGGGGGAGGGGTGTTCAGAAGGTGAGAGAAGCAGAGACCCAGGATGGTACTAGGGACTTCCTGCACCGGACCTATTCTCAGCCACCATGTCCCATGGATGCCATTCCCAGCCTCGCACCCACCTCCTCCAACAGCAACCACTGCTTCTCCATATTTGCCTCCTGCAGGATGACTTCCTGCCTCTTGAGCTCCTGGGCAAAAGACTGATCCTGGCTCAGACGCTGGCTGAGGGGTTGTGCCCTCTAAAAACAAATGCTGTAATTCCAGTCGCCTGAGAGATCCGTTTTCAGGATGGAGAGACACCTGCCCACCCAGCCCAACATTCTACCACTCCTCCCATGGCCATCTGTCAGTTGTCAGGTGTATGTCCTTCCAGTCCCCTTTCAGTGCGACACACCTCTGTGCTTCTGCAAGTGAGAGCGTGGTCACGTGACCCACCACCAGCTTCACGTGACCACGTAGTCAACCTGTCTGCCGCAGCCCTGCAGCATGGATGGTAGAATATTCTGCCCCTGAGGTTGAGATGCTTGCTAGAAGAATTTGAAGCTCCTGACCCTGGTGAAGATAGAGAGCTGAAGGAAGGCTGGATTTAGAGCTGGAACTTCCAGTGCTAGTGCTAGGCCTGGGCCTTGCTCTTTAGCAGCACAGGGCTGGCAAGGAATACTTGATGAAGAAGGGGTTTGGAAAGGAAGTTATTTTTATTAATCTGTATGATACTCTGGAGACATATTAACACACACACACACACACACACAGTATGTCTTGAAAAATATTGATAAGCAAAACAAACACTGTGAGGGCAGGCAAAACTACCACTTTGCTCTATGCCCATAAACCTTGCATACCAGAATCAGGTAGGAAAAAACACCACTTTCCATCCTGACAAATAAAAAAATGACAGGGTCACCATGTTTGGTTGTTTTCCTGAAAATAATAAAACTTTGCAGATTTACTCTTAACCTGGACTGCCCAAAATCCCCTATCCCAAACCAAAACAACTGTATGCCTGACTTTCGCTTCTGTCTGAATATGTATTACATTTTTGAATGTGAAAAACATGTAGCGTGAATTCAGGAACTTTGGAAATTTTAAAGTTTATTCCCTTTAATTTAATATGTATTTTTACTTGGCAAGCCAGTCATTTTGAAGTTGTAGTCTCTCACATTTGTTTACTCCTTTGTTATGTTTTACAGTCAAAACTGCATACATTTGGTCTATTTACCACATTTATTTTTACAATGGAATTATACTTTCTATGTATAATACCAGTCTTTTCTATTCCACCAAATAAAGCATTTTGCTTTATTATTTTCTTATTCAATTGAAAAATCTATACCTCATCACTTTTAGAGGCTGTATGGTATTACTACCATAACATTTTCCATGGGCACCACTATGAAGAAATGGTTTTCCTGTCTCAGTTAATTTTCTGTACTTTCTTAATTCTTTTAACTTTTAAGCGTATCAATGAAACACCCGTATTTTGAGATGCAAAATTCAACTTCTTATTTCTTCAAAACTTATCTCATCCTCTCTATCCCTTAATACACCCTTCCCAGCCACTCCAGTCTGATTGGGTAACTCACTCACATAGAAAAACTTTTCCCAACTCCATGCTTTTATTCACACCACCCAGTCTTTCATATATTCCAGAGCCCAGCTTAATTGAGTTCTTTTTCTCCTGAGGTATGCCCTGAGTAGCAGCCCATGGTAACCTTTGCATTTAATGTCATCAGAATAAACTTTTTCAATGAGCATATTATTTATAGATTAATTATCTATGTGTGTTCCTGTGTTATCTTTGCATCTATATTTTAAGTTCAAGGAGAAGGGTGACTTCTGACAACTTTAAAACAGAACTTTATTGAAAACACAAGACTCAAATAGACATCAACACACTAGAACAACAATCAGAAGGGTAGCTGGCTTACTTATGATGGCTCAGTTCACTCTAGCCGAAATACTAAATGTCACAATTTAGACAAAAACACAAATATCAACAAATGTTCTGTCAGTTCTAATATTCATTTGGCATCAGAAGAATGATTCTGCTCATACAGAGTTGGGCAAAGTCAGTGCTAGCAATAAAGATGTACATTACAACACAATCGACCATGTAAACCAAAACATTATTCAAGGAATTGTTAACTCAGGAACATTAGGACAAAGGCAAGTGATTAATCATACTAATTTTACTGGCCTGCTTCAGGGTCATATTGATCATTTGTTTTGCTTTGCAGTTCCTTAGCAAACTCCTCAACTTCATGGAATGCAGAAATAAGTGGCTCAAGACTGAAATCATCATCAGTGAACAACACCATCTCCTTTTTGATATTGTTACCAATATTCTCAAACATTGCTAGAACAACTTGAGTATTGTCATTTGTCTCTTTCCTGTTAAAAAGGCCCATAAATTCTGACATTGCTTCAGCACTGAGTAGTTCTTTTGTCATGACAGGATTTTCAGACAAATTCAGTAGTATTTTCAGAACATGAAACCTTGTTCTGGTATTGCCCATGGCTAGTAAGGAGAGAAATCCTGACATATACTTGGCAACCAGTGTGTGATAGTCAGTAGTTGTAGTGAGGTGTCTAAGCATCCTTATTCCAGAAATTTGCTCAGGGGAATCTAAGCTATAAGAAAGGGTTTCTTCACACATTTGACATACATATGTCTGAATCATGTTTAGATTTGGATATGGTGGAGCCAAGCGAATCATGTTTTCCAAAAAACTTGTCCTAACTCAGGAGGAGGAATAATTGAGCAAGGTTTCTTTTTTTTTTTTTTTTTT